TACTGGTGTGTGTAGAATTTTCTCGCGCTCTCTCATTCTGCCACGTGTATGTATTTGAGCTTGTGTTTGTATGTTCAATGATCATGTATACGCAAGGTCTATAACATAAGATCTGACTGGCAATTTTTATGGCTGACAGAGAATGGCCAGGTATATGCATCAGTCTGCCGAACTTCTGCAATAAATAACCCATGATGCAGCAACCAGTGCTATAGGGAATAATGCCAAAGCCTACATGATTGGTAACTATTTTATTATCAATGATGCAACAGTTATGGAATTTTGATGAGGTGATTCGACAATGTGAGCAAACTGTTGATATTTGTGAGAACCTTACTTCTGCTAACATGGATGATTCCAATTGCAAGAGCTCTCATGTGAGGTTATGGAGAAGGCGCCTACAATCCAAGTCCTACTATCATTTGGGAAGGCTTCACATAGCTCTTCATTTGATTGAAAAACAAGAGGAATTGAATTTTATTGGCACGAAGCAAAGCTCATTATCCATCAAGAACCAGGTTGAATTATATTTTTAACTGTATTTGTTTATGCTGATCGCATGTCTTACTATGTAGGTATGCTAACATGAAACAGGAAGCCTTAATTCTTTTGGCTACCACTGTATCCGAGCTATTGCAATTGAAGGTATGTCAAGTTCTATTTAACTTTGTTCATCCATTTGGATATTGATTCCTAAGTTGTTAAAATATCTGTTGTAGATATCCAAGCATGAGAACTTTGCAAACTTTGAGCAGTTGTTTTGATCACTTACAAACTATGCAAAGAATTTTGAAGTAGAATGAAATCCCTTATATTAATTCAGAAAGCTCAATAGACTTATCTATTCCAATAATTCTCTATGATGTATCTAGATTTTTTATGATGCATTCCGAATTTCCAGGTTGGATATGCTATGCAGAAAAAACTCTTGGATGATACATACTTCCATATATTTCTTCAGTCAAAAGCCCCGAACAAATTATCGGAGCTGCCATTAAGAACCACATATGCCAAAAATTACGTCTATGGTGATCTATAATCTGCACCATCTTTGTTAATGTGCTGTACATTTTATTATGGTTTCAAGCATATTCAACGCAATTGCGGACTTCTATCTTGATATTGGGGTCCAATAGCATACTTAAATACTAAATGCAACTTCAGT